AGGAGGCCATGTAAGAGGTCACATCAAGTCTCCTGAGTAAGCACCCAAGTCTAAGTCTTTGTTGCTTTTTCCGTTATGCAATGCTGCATTAAAAAGTCACATTGCTCTTTATTCTTAGGTTAGTGATTATCTTAGTTTGAGTCCCCTAGACAATGAAGCCTGATGCAAGAATTAAATACTGATGCTTTACTTGGGAGGTGCAAACTCAGGGCAATGAGAGGGGGAGAAAAGAGAAACAAGGGAAGAATGGGAAGCAAAACAATGAATGATGCTTGAGCGGCTTTCTCACTGTCCACTATTTACCTACATGAATAGATGCAACAGGTTGCTCAGCAGGTATCACTTTGAAAAACTATGTGAAAAGCGCCCCTAGCAATCATTGTGAAAGAGGAAGGTAAGGAGTTTTGTCTTCATGTTTACCTCCTGTCTCCTGTACCTATTTGCCAGATTTTACTCCATGGGAGTTAATGGCCCTTGGCTTTGAGGTGGCCTTCCCTGGCCCCACAGAATGCCAGGTTCCATGCCCTACCATGGCAAGAGGAGCCAGAAATTCTGAATTTGGGACTGATCTACCTGTCCCTCAAGCAGCAGCCAAGGGGTTGGCTCCATTAGTTCTGAAGGAAGTTGCCGGTCATCCTCAGGCTGAGGAACATGGAGGCGGGACAAGTAGCTGAGGTTGCTGGAGGTGGCAGAACCAAGGGAATCTCAGGAAGCAGGTGAAATGGATGCCATACAGCAATGTTGTCTTACTGTTAATATTTTAAAGAATTCTTGTTACACTGTCAGCAGCTTTCATAGACAATATCCAGTTTCTTTCCCTTTCCCCTACCATCTCTGCTCACAAACTTCATCCCAGGTCCTGAGCCTGCTCTCATCTGAGACCTGGGATCTAGGCACCCATCTGTGCTGTCCACCAGTCTCCCCTGTCATGCCTGCAGTCTCATGAGTTCTACTGTAATATTAATCTGTCAGCCCTGGCTCCTTTCTATGCTCCCATCCTTGTGATGCATCTTCCTCTCTCCCTTGTGTTTCAGTACCCAGGTAAAAGTTTCTACTCTGTTTCTTAAAATCCAAGCTAGTTGTTTTCAGACTCCCTCACTAGGTACTGGTATACTCACTCTTCCTGCCATCTACTCTTGGCCTAGACAGCCCAAGTTCCCTCAAAGAAGAATCTTGCCTCTGAACTTGGGATCCCTTGTCTTTCTTGGCTGTAGTACAGGTCTCTGACATCAATCAGACCTAGTTTTTCTTATCTCTGGTCCACATACTTGATTATAATTTCACTTCTATTTTTGAAAATCCCAGTCACAAATGTGTGACTAATTCTCCTTTCTCGTCTGGCTGCCTTTCCCATACCTGTCCTCCCAGAGTAAAAGTTTCCAGCTTGTTCAGTTGTTAATCTGTGTCTTGTCCTAACATTTGGGGGTTCTGCCAGCCCCAGGTTCTTTCGTCTTCACGCCATACATTAATGAAACATGATTGTGTCCTGTATTATCAAAGAAAACATACTTTAATTCAAATAATTTGCTATAACCAAGTCAACATAATTGTAATATCCAAGACTGTGTATATATTATTTATCCTCACAGTTTTATTGTAAGATACTTTCAGTCTATCAATGTCTCCCACTTTGCTTTTTATTGTTTTTTATCTACGGACATAGAGCCTGAAAGCAAAAACAAATGTGAACTTTAAATGGCATCTTAATCTTTCTATTAGATCTTCAATAGTGAACATATGCTATGCAATAATGCATTAAGGAAGACATTTAATCAAAAATTGCATAAGCCTTTTCCCCTAGTTTAAGTCCTAGGGAATGTGTTGTTTATTGGCTTGCTAACAGCTTAAACTAATTTGCACTCTTAGTAAATCAATCTATGAGAACTTATAAATCAACTCTGTTTAAAACAGATTTTATTTTTAACATATGACAGTTAGAGAAAGTTTATGGTATTTGGAATTGAAAATTCAAAAGACAGTTAATTTACCATCAATAATCTTTTGCTCCTTCCTCATGGAGGGGTTAATTAGAAATTTTGTTTCAGTTCTTTTGGAAATTTTGTCTTAAAAAATTATGTAGAAAGAAGAGACAATTTCCTAGTTAAAATATTGGCAAGCTGCAACTCCATAATAAGCTCTCTTCTAATTTTCCATTAAATGATCCATGAATACATACAGAAATTCAAAAATTCAGTGGCAATGGAAAGGAAAGATAACAGCCATCCATTTACATAAGTCCTTTGAGAAATTCCCAGTAATTACTGAGCTGATGTGGCCTGATTGAAAAACACATTTAATAGCCTCCACAGTTCATGCCTAATTAAAAGAAAATTTAAGTATAAAGAGGAAACAGTCTAGTCCCATAATCTGTCTTTTCCTCAGAAATTTATTATCTGCACCTACCAGAAAACTTGGAAGCCACCTCCTTATTGCATCCCTTCTGGCACATAGTAGGTGTCTTTTAAAACTTTTTTCTGATGAGGAAATGAATCCATGTGAAATACTTTCTAAGGAGGCCCTCTTACTAAGACTTCTTTTTCTGCATTCCTCTTGAAGATCCAAACCCCCTGGAATTAAAATGACTGTAACCATTGGGGAAAATGTGGAGGAACGTCATTCTACCAAGGCTGTATAGAATCTAGCATGTACAGAGATGGGAAGAGTCCAAGTGATTTGTGGTTCATGTTACTGGTGACATTAGAGTTTATCCATTAATAGGAAGATAATGCAATTTTCTAAAACGTCAATTTTCCCAAGCTTATTTGAAAACTGCCAATGGATGTAAGACACTATCCTCCCTACATCTAATAGATGGGTGCTTCTTTGCTACAGGAAATTGGCCCACGGGGATGCACCGAGTTACCTCCACATGCAGATCTAAGAAATCGCTGCAAAGTAAAAGGAGGCTGAGACTCTGTACAAGTGACCACCTCGGAGAGATACCCCTCTCCTTTTTATACAAGCAAACGAGAAAAGAAAAGGCAGAAATGATTCTATTAATGCTAAAAGATAAGAGAGTGACCCCTAAATTCACACTTAAATGGGTTATAGTGAAACTATAGAAGGACAAACACAAGAGAAATTCTGAAAAACAAGACAAAAAACCACGATTTTCAAAGGAATAAAAATTATAGCAAAGGTAGAATTCCCAACAGTAAGAATAGAAGCCAGAAGAATGTGGAATTACAGTGCTGAGGCAAATTAACTGTCAGCCTAGAATTTTAAATCCCAGTAAACTATCACTCAAGAGTAAGGATGAAATAAAAGTATTTCCAGTCCAACAATGAGATTGAGACAATTTAAAACTCATAGATACTTACTAAAAGAACAAATGGAGAACCTACTTCGGAATGAAGGAAATTGAATTCAGAAAAAAGAAATAGGATCCAGTAATAGTGGTTATTAAAACTATCAATAAATGTGTGTAAATCTCAATGAGCATTGACTATGGAAATAATAATGAATAACTCAGGTGTTCTAAAAGCAAAGTGAACTCAAGTACTAGATAATAACTTTATCAGGGGGATGGGTGTTGCCATCAGACATGTAAGGTTTTTGCATTTGGGAGAAAGAGGTTTGAACAATTTTAATACATTTTTTATAAAGTGTAAATGTTGAAAACTTGGGACAACCAAAAAATAGAGAGATAGGATATATATAATTTTTTTTTTAAGATTTATTTATTTGAGGGGGGGAGATGGAGAGGGAGAGTTATTTTTTTTAAGCAGACTCTGCACTGAATGCAGCGTCTGACTGAGGGCTCAATCCCCAAACCCTAAGAGACCGTGAGATCATGAACGGAGCCGAAACCGAGTCAGACACCCGAGTGACTGCACCACCCAGGCGCCCATGTTTTTTTAAGTAGGCTTCATGCCCATCATGGAGCCCAACACTGAGCTTGAACTCACGAATCTAAAATTAAGACCTGAGAGGGAAAGTCGGACACTTAACCAACTGAGCCACCCAGGCACCCCAGAATATATAATTTCTGAACCAGTAGAGGCATAAAAGAAAAAGAAAACTTTGATGAGTCCAGTAGAATGCAAGAACAGAGAAGAATTAAAGGAAGGTTGTGGTACAGAGAGGTACCATATGAGATGTTCAACACAAATATATCATTAATCATGATAAATATAAACAGACTAAACTGTGAAAGTTGATATTTTGAGAATAGAAAGTGAAATGCAGCTTTATGCTGTTGACAAAATTACCTGGTAAGATATCTAGAAATGTACATATCTAGTAATGTATATACTAATCAAAAATTAGCTGACATAAATATATTAGAGTAAGTAGACTTTAAAGCAAATAAATATATTAATTTTTTTAAAAAAATCACCCAATGTAGAGAAAAATTCCGAACTTATTTCCACCTAACCACATAATCTCAAAATGTGTAAAGCAAAATTTGACACATATGGAAGGAGAAATGAACAAACCCTCAGAGTAGGAGATTTTATTATACTTCTTTCAGTAATTGGAAGGTCAAGCTGACAGGATGTTAGTAAAGCCCTACCAGACTTGACCAACACAATTAATGAGGTTAGGCTTTCCTCTACTGATTAAGCCCTACTGCAGCTCTGCTGCAAACAATTGTCAATTTTTGCCGTTCAGTTATTCCTGCACTTTGATCTCTCTCTCTGGACTTCTTCCTATGCTTTAGGGCACCTGTGAGGATGTGCAAGTATTGCCTTTCAGCAAAATCTGACAGGGGACTGCACACTAGTCTTTCTTGGTTACGGATACTTAAAAAACTTCATGGGGAAAAAAGTCTAGTGCTCTCAGCCATTTAGAATTGGTCAGGAAAATAAAGGTCATATGCCATTCTCTTAGCATCCCCCAAACTTTCTTTTTCCTTCTTTGATTCCTACTTCCCCCTCTTCTTTATTTTTATCCTCCTTCCTTCTTCCTTTCTTCCTTTTTTCCTTTTTGTATCTCTTTTTATCCCTCTATTTTCACCCTTAAATGTTATATTATTTGAGATCTTCCTGGTGATAGAGAAGCAAAAGTAGTTGGGCCTCTTTTGAAGTGATAAAATCCATTTTAACCAGTATTTCAAAAACTGAATTTGTCCATAAATAATGTGGGTCTTTATCATTTTAAATTGCTGTTACTTTATTGAATAGTATAATAAATTTAACAATTTAAGCAGCAAGTCATTTCAGAAAACAGTTTTTCCTGAGTGGATGATACTAAACTACACTTCTACTAAAGAAAACATTTGGGGCACCTGAATGGCTCAGCCGGTTAAGTGTCTGCCTTAGGCTCAGGTCATGATCTCAGGGTCCTGGGATCTCTACTCAGCAGACAGTCTACTTCTCCCTCTCCCCCTGCCTCCTCCCCCCTGCTCATGCTCTGTCTCTGTCTCTCTTTCTCTCAAATAAAGAAATAAAATCTTAAAAAAAAAAGACATTTTACAAAATAAATCAAACACACTCTAAAATTTGTAATTGATGAATCCTTTCCTTGTTTATGTGAAGTCTATGGCATACTTCATGTTTTTGATATTAAATGAGGAAGCTCAGTAATGAGCAATCGTTAGCACGCAATGAGTCTATCACTTACTTTACCTGAGTATTTGTGAGGCAGGTGCTCATGTGCCAATAAGAACATAAGAAAGTAACTAAAATGGGAAAATTCCAACTAGCATGTGATTTGGTCTTTTTATTTGTAGAATAGAAAAAAAAAATCTGCACTGAAACTTTCTAGTAGTAGATGGAAGTGGGATTAGCAAATGGGAAAATATAATTACTCATGCATTAATTTACAACAAATATTTATTATAAATTCATTTATGTAAATTGATTTGTATCATAAATATAGTAATTCTCTTGGTACCTCATTTTCTGAATTAAGATATGCTTGCTAATAATATACCTAAATAACTATAGAAGTTAATAACCATTTTACTGTATTACTCAGTCTCTTCCAAATTTCTGATGTACTTTCATCTAATCATGAAATATTAAGGCAGAAAGAAACCTAGTAGAGGTGAGTTAATCAAATTATATTCTATAGAGCCTTGACATTCCTTTAAAGTGCTTTTGTTTGTCTATAGGGGGGCTGTGGAAATGAATGGAAGCTTCTAGCTTCTCATCTTACTTCAACCAGATCAACTCTAGGTTACTTGGCTTTATATTTGTATATTGAGATTCTGTCTTAGGTATTTTTCAGACACAGTACCCCCCCAAGCCAAAAAATAAGATGTTTAAAAGCCACTGATTAAATCTTACTCCTTAATTTAACCAGATTAAGAATTTATATGCTAAAAAAAAAGACTCTTTAAATTGTTTGCCCAAGGTCACACAATATAGGAAAGGGAGCTAAAACTTGAAAATGGGATTTTTAATTCTCACCTTACTAGTTTTATACATGTGTCTTTCTTTGCACTTAAGACACGGTGGATTGTTTCAGTAAAGCTCAAGTGGATCACGTCTGCCTGTACACATATTTTATGTAGTCTCCCCTTCCTTGTTGACCCTGGTCTTGGCCATGTGACTTGCTTTGGCCAGTGGTTTACTAAGGAATGTGAAAGTAGCAGATATATGATAACCATTTATATATTAGGGCTTTCTTTTGCAGCTAGTACTTTTCATGTACTATATGAAGTATATTTGGCTCATCTCATAGATTAGAGAGCTCCTGGCCAGAATTCCTAGTTGAGGTCCCAAATCATGAGTGAGCCCAGCTAATACCACATAAAGTAGATAAGCCTTCCCAAATGAGGTCAGATCACAGACTCATGAGCAAATAGATGGTCATTTCTTTAAACCACTAAGTTTTGAGGTAGTTTGTTTTCGTAGTGATCGCTGACCAAAAGAGCAGTATTGACTTATTCTGCCAACCATGACCTTTCCTAGGATCTGAGTGCAGCATACTTTTATGGGTTATTTCAAAAACTATAGAGCACACTGACTTCTAGTAGCTAATGTCATATAAAATTATGTATTCTTTCACTAGAGAGAGTCTGTCTTTATTTCCTTTATTTCCTTCAGTAACTGTAATCTGGTAAATGTAGATATATTTGGTTATCTTTAATCATAGAACCCTGGGAACTGCCACAGTTACCAGGATCATCTGTGAGGGAAGGGCACCAGGTGAGCTACATCTGAGCATCTGAGTAGAGTAGGGATGGAAAGGACAGGTCCAGATTGTTCCTAACATAGGTGATACCAGGTCGAATGTACAAATGAGAGCCCATATGCCATATGTCTAAATTTTTTAAGTGGTAAATCAAACTAACAAATTTTTAAATAGATTATATTATTCCACCTTGACAAATATAACTTTAAACCAAGCTGTAAGACCACGTTTGAATTTAGAATTTTGGGCCACCTCAGAGTTTTGCACTAGAATATGATAGCACAGAATAGCTGGGCCCTGGCCAAATGCCCACTCTGTTCTCTTCCTTCCTTCAACTTCAACACCCCTTCAACAAGGGGTTCTCATGTACAAATTTGTGGATGTCTCAGCCCACGTAATTAAGTTTGGTCTCCATCTTCCCCTTGATAGCCACGTCTTAGGCTGCAATTCTAGGAGTGTTCTGATGAGAGGACTGTCAAAGAGAAGAGTCCTGTGCAAGCCCTGGAATGGGATCCAACTCTTTGGACTGTGAATTATGGCATCACATGAACTGGGAACATGGATGCGGCTGGGTTGCCTAGAGGCCTGTCCCAATGGGCCCATGTACTCCTTGCATGTGCAGAGAGACGATGACAGAGGACACTCAAAGGCCCTAGAAAACATGAGGCCCTGGACAGGAAGTTCTCTTTCTTGGGCCTAACGGTGTGTGTTTGGTTGGGGGATCCCCAGCAGCAGACCCTGAAACTAGGCCTTGAGAGCAAGTAGTTTGAGAGGTGATCTCAGGAACCATAGGTAGGAGTGTGAGAGAGCAAGGAGAAGCCAATTCAGGTAGTGTTAATGGGCAGTTGCCACTGTTAACAATTTGGGCTCAGTTGCACTGGGGATCTCTAGGAGTTCATGTAGAATTCACCTCAGAGTTATCCCTACTAAAGGTCAAAGACCCTGGGTTAATTTTCTACCAATTTGATACATTATTTGTTGAGGATTGCAAAGGTAGGCATGAACTATCACTTCTGGCCTGATCCACATGAGGGCTGAGTACCTTCCTATGCTCAGAGAGAAAGAAGTTTTCCATAAAGCCATTTGCCTGCAGGGCGGACTTAAATGCCCAGGGGACGTGGCAGGGCATGGATGGTATCTGCTCCAGTGCAGATTCGGAAAGGACTTTGAGAAAACCTGCCCCTAAAAACAATGATGGTATGATGGCATAATGTGGCCAGTAAAATTTCCAAGTTTCTAAAGATCAAAATGGTTTCTACAGCTGCTATTTTACATCTGAAGGGATGCAGAAACAGAAGTGACTTCTTATTTATAATAGATGATAATACTCCTATTTATGTTTATTACTCAAATCGAATTATTTTGGATGTTTAAGAAACGATGCATATGATTTTATCAGTACATCTTCAAAAATAGAACTATCTTACTGTGAACTCCACTGTTACGATGGATTCCTTTCCGGACTGGCAAAGAAAGAGGCTGGCACCGTGCATTCCTTAGGGTCTTTACTCATGAACATTTCATGAGTTGGAAAATGTACACTGAAGAATGTCCTTGGCTTTCACTTTCAGACTCACTATCATTAGGAAGTGGATATTTTTAGGGAAAGGAAAATAGTGTAGAACATAAAGCCTCTGATAGAAGCTTTATACTGGGACTTGTGCATTTCAATTATTGTTTACTATTAAATGGCTAGTGATTCTTTATCTTTGATGAGAATAGTTAATTACTGTTGAGTTGGAGTTGCTTAAATTTCCTATTCTAAGCAGTTTAATTTTATTTAAATTACCTAATCTAAATATTTTCATTTCAGTCTGTTTGTGAAAGAGAACAATGAGGTTTCTTTATTTCTGTTAATAAAGCAACAAATTTTGATCAGATGATTATCTCACCTGGTTTGTTCAAATGATGTTGCCACAACTCAAACAATTCTCTCAGAATGAAAACAATCAATGAATAACAGATGATAAAATGTGCCTGGAGTCCTTTTCGACGAGAAAAAATTTTATTCTAAAATTAAATCTGTACTTGAATAGGATGGAATAAAAATAACAACATTCTGACAGCCTTTGTTTTCCCTCTAGACCAGCTGATAATCTTGAACTTCCGTTAGATGTAATATAGATTTCAAATGTGATCCACTGTCAGTGTGTTTTAATATACAATGTATAATACTAACATTATATATAGTATATATGACATATAGCAATACACAATATGCAACATGCTATATAATATGTAATTAATATGTTTTTATAATATATAACACCTAACAGGTAACACACATATACAAATCCTCAATTTGATTTTAAAATGATTTAAGGCAATTAATGTTCTTGCAGATGTGGCTGGTTTTCTTGGCATAAACTTCAGTGTATTTGAAAACAGGTTTGCCATTTTTAACATTTGAGGTGCTAAATGTGAGTGAATTAAAATTATAGCTAATTAATGTCATACTACTTGTCTGGTCCATTGATTGATGGGCTTGATTTGTTTTCTTGGTTTCAGAGAAATTCCTCTTATAGAATCAGGCTTTGAACTTTTTTTTTTTTAATCATTTGTTTTTTATCTATTACTTAAAAAATTTGCCATTAGCAGTGAAATGTGCATTAAACTCTTATACTACATCCTATTTTAGCATTGAGAGATTTTTATAACTATTTTCTCATTTCATGGAAATAAGAAAATGGTGACCTTCAGAGAATAAATTAGTGTTGCTTAGAAGGAAAGGCCAATATGTATAGTCTGCCTGCTGTAAGAACTGATATTAGCTGTTGACTTAAGGTTAATGGTGTAACAAGGTGATATGAGAAGTATTAATTGGGCATACCTCTGCTTCCCTTGGTTATTAACTATGGAAAAATTATTTCCAATTGCTGGTCAAGCTGCAAATTAGTTTGATTACTAGGGGACAGAGTACCCCTAAGTCATAGAAATGTAACAAACAATAATGCTCACCAAATATTCCATATATCTGTCTCTCAGCCCCCATTCAGTTAGATAGAGCCATGTGGTTGGTTCTGGCCAATTAAATGTACAGTTGGCACTGGGACAATACAGGTGTTAGGAGCAGCTACCCCTCGCACAGTCACAAATCCTTATATAACTTTTGACTCCCCCAAAACTTAACTACTGATAGCCTACTGTTGACTGGAAGCCTTATCAATAGCATTAAGAGTTGACTAACACACAGCTTGCATGCTGTATGTATTGTATACTGTATTCTTACAGTAAAGTAAGCTAGAGGAAAGAAAATATTAAGAAAGTCCTAAGAAAGAGAAAATGCATTTCTAGTACTGTACTGTGTTTATTGAAAAAAGCCCACGTATAAGTGGACCTGCGTGGTTCAAACCTGTATTGTTCAAGGGTCATCTGTAATGTGTATTACTTTTAAGTTGAGCACTGGAAAGCCCTTGAGCAAGCTTCTAGCCACTTTTCTTCCCCTGACCTGTCAACAAAGGAAGAGAGGTGTCCCTGATGGTACACCTGGAAGATAGTGGTATCTTTCACAACATGGGTCCCTGAGTGACTTTATGGAGTAGACCTTCCTATGACCTATGCACAAGATATATTCTGTTATTGTGGTTATGCTCTGGCGATTTAAGGGTAATGTGTTACTTCAGGATAAGCTAGTTTCTTCTAGATTATACAATATAATTAAATACAGTAGTATTAAATATTGCTTTACTCCAAAATGAATTTTAGGACTTATGCCACCAAAAATAACTAAGCTATTTAAAACATTTTTTAATAGTTGCAGATGGATCTGTTCTAGTTCCTTTACGATTTGTTCCTCTCAGTCCTGGACGCTACCCTTGTAAAATTTTGCTGATATCACGGCATGATGTGCGTGTCTATTGCATTGAAGGTGTGGTAAATGAAGAACGTCCAGAAGCCAGGTTTGAATTTGAAACACCAGCATTTGAAGCCCTTACCCAACATATTCCAGTAGTAAGTGGTACTTATACTTACTTATTTTTTTTGGCTACTTTTCTCCATTCCCACTGCCACTGTCTCAATTAAAGTTCTCCAAACCTCTCATTTTGAACTATTAGAATTTCTAATGGCATTACCTGCTGCCATTTATTTCTCCACATTGAGGACAGAGCTTTATTCTTCAATATAAATGTTACCATGTTACGCACCGCACTAATCACTTCTGTTGGATCTCTTTCCTTCAAAAAATAACTCCAACTTCCTTAACTTATCGTCACATTCCCACTCAAAAGGGAATTCCTGGCTCTACCAGGCAGTTAGGATCTCGAGAATCTCTGCTTCAAATTCAGTTGTGATCTTCACAGTTAAGATGGGTTCATGGGCACTAAGAACAATGACTGGCTGTAGCTTGGCTCTCAAAGTGACACTACAGCATAGAAGAAGGTAATATATTTGTAAGGAATGTTGAATTTTCTAGACTAGAAATTGGTTTTGTTTGTTTAATTATTAAAGATTTAAGAAAAGTCTGCTCAAAGCACAAAAATTTGTTCTGATGAGATGTGTAAGCTTTGCTATCTGAGCAATCTACCAGATAGATTCCCCATAATTAGGAGTAGAATGTGTAATTCTAAGACCAGTTTATAATTTTCACAGTAATTAATCATTCAAACAAATATTTCTTTAAATATTAAATAACCCATGGATCAACCTATTAGACAATGCTTCTATATGACAATGAAAGCATAGATAGTCATCCTTATGCTGTATATTCACATTGTTGATAGTTGTTCTTAACAACTATGACTTTCAAATGGTGATTCTCATGAAATGGAATTTAAAATACAATATATAATTTTATTAAAAGTAACATGAATTAATACGTAATTCAGCTTCATCAACATCACCCTTCTGATATTTTTCTATATTATTTTTCATGCTTTAGAGTAATAAGACAAAGAATGAATGGAAATGTCAAGTTACTATAGAAGGAGAATGGTTTTATGGACCTTCTGTTTTATATGTTGGACCAGGTGAAACTGTGCAGTATCCCCTTACGTTCAAACCTATTTTGGAATGTGAGATTATGGTATGAACTCATTGATTTTTTTTCCTAGTATTAATTTGTCAATAAACTGTTGTATGATATTAACCTTTATAATTTATGATAAACCTTTTTGCAAAAAAGTTATCTACTCTATGCTTTTGATTATTAGTATTCACTCTGCTTGAAACTTTAATAAATCTTTTAACTTGAGGGATAAAATTTCTGAATTCACAATGCCATTGGCTGCCAGTACTTACGTCTAGATTATTTTTACATAACACGTTTAACAAAGTAAAATCATTGTTCCTTTGTTTTTATTCATTAAGGTAGTTGGTACTTCAGAGAATATTTTCTTAAGACATATTTCTTTGACAAGGACATAAAAACGCATATAATTGCTATGTATGAGAATGCCTATATAAACTCTGTCATTTAGAGAAAGCAAAGAGAAACACAGAGCTTTTCACAGGAAATTCATCTTTATTCATTCAGTAGAAGTATTTATACATAAACTAGAAAAGTCAGTGACTGATACCTCCTTGAAAGCTCATTTCATTAATCAGATTCAAAGTTAATAGGATAGCAGAGATGTTTGACATCCAACTGTGACTCCTACAGAGCTGAAATTTGGCTGATTTGTCACAGGGCAGACTTACTCTACAAAATGAAGTAGATGGTATGGAGTATGTCTTTGACATAAAAGGGATTGGAAAAAGACCCCTGGCCTTGGAACATATCACTATAGACTGTCAAGTAGGGAAGATGACAAATAAACCCATAATGGTGCCCAATTATACAAAGACCATCCAAACATTTAAGGTAAGATTTCTTTTTAAGGATGAAATTGTTTTAAGAAGGACTATATTGAATTATATGAATTTTTAAAAACATTTACTTAACTAGGTGAAGTGTCACATAAGGAGATGTTTAGAATACTACTTTTTGTTAGGCCAACAGCTATTAAATTTCATTTCACTTGTAAAGTTGAAATAGCACCAAACAAGTTTTATATCTAAGTATTAGTATATAATCATAAAACACTTTAAAAGCTATTTATTTGAATCATGTATTTTCACCTGAATAAATTATATATGATAATAAAAGGCATTTTCATAAGTATTTTTGACAGCTCTTAAAATTTTAATGTGAAATCTGTAGACATAAAATTTCAAAAGTATATCCTATCATTTATCAGTGTCAATAATAGTGGGAATGTGAAGAAGTGCGTAATTATTTACATCTTTATTTTTTTATGAAGTTTTACACTTGGCTTTCCTTATTTGATTTAAGCCAATCCTAAAATACATTTTTCCACTTCCCGCTCCCACATTTATCTACAAATTATTGTGTACCTAATAGAATCCTTCAAAGAAGCTTCACATATCTATTTGATCATAGGTGTCTGAATTTCAGAGGGTACTACAGAAGTTTGGAAATTCTCTAGGTTTACCCTCTGGGATTTGTTGTTGTTGTTGTTGTTGTTGTTGTTGTTGTTTTGTAATCCTGGAAAAAATATGTGCCTTGGTTTTCTTCTCTCCTTACTGGATGGCAAATGGAGTGAATATTAAGAACGAAAATCTCATCTTGTCATTCCCCTGCTGAAACTTGTCAGTATCATTTCTTACCAGTTCAGGATCAAATCTGTACTCCCTGAATTGGCTTTTGCTGTCCTTTAAAAGCTCATCTGCTCAGTTTCATCTGTTGCCACTCTTGGCTCCAGCAGCACTCAGCCCTTTGTAAACAGTATTTACTTTTGCCCCTGTCTGGAAATCTCTACCCAACTCCCTGTCTTCCATTTCTCTGTGTTTGTCTTGCTCCTTTTATTTCTTTAGGGCAAGTCTTAGATGATACTTTCCCAGAATGATAATAAAAGGTATTTTCAAAAAAATTTTGAACAGCTTTTAAAATTTATGGATTATAAAATTAGGGATTAGATGTCTCTCATGTGCTTCCACAATATATATATTTTTTTACCTTTTCCGCCATCAAACATATTATATCATATTGCTATTACCTTTTTATTGTTTTCCACCAGATTATAAACTGAGAAAAGAGGCGTGCCTCTCTTACCCACATTTATACCCAGCATAGATTATTTTGTCAAAGCTCGTAATAGTTTTTCAAGGAAGATTTTCCATATTTTTATATTTAAAGAGCTTCAACAATTATAAAAGAACAGAAATGTATTTAAGATTTAAGAAACATTTGTTCCTAGAGATATTATCAATAGGTACAGTATCTCCTTTCTTAATTTGAAATTTACCATTGTTTTTAATCAACACAGAATAATGAGCCTTATGAATTTGCCCTTTCACATCATTTAATTTAATACATAATTTAATACATAATATAATACATAATACAAGTTTATTGCTTGTATTTCAATAGAAATTCTATTGAGGAACAACTGAGGTATCATCAAGGAGAAAGTCTGGGCTGAGAATCTTTGCTTTATACTTTCAGCTTTCATCATACTCTTGCTTTGGTACCACTGAAATGCTTCTGACCCTCCATCTTTATTCCTTCATCCGTGAAATGAAGTTTACCTCAGTGCACTCAAGACTGATTCACATTCTTTTCCCCTGCTCTTCCTCTCTCTTTGAGTATCTTCCTCTTTGTAGAATTATTTCCCTTAATCTATAATCTATGAATATTCTCAAATTTAGCGGAGCAAACTTGTCTTTATACTACTCCTTCCTCAACTATTATCATCTTTATTGTCCACGATTGCTAAACTTTTTGAAAAAGTGATGATTACATGATCACTTCTTAATTTACAGTGGGCGATTTATAGCTCTTCTACTCTGCTGTGAAACTCCTGCCACAGAGATCATCCTTGACTCTGGGTCAAGAAAAATCACTTATTTTGCCAACGTATCTGCCTCAAAACTCCTGTGGTGTTTGACAGTGTCAATCTGCCTTCTTAACACTCTTCACCTTTTATTTTGTATCATTCTGTATTCCTCATTTCCCTGCCATTTCTTGATTATTATTTATCTGGTTCTTTTATCCTTCTAACCTTCTGATGTCTTTTCAAGTTTCCATCTTCAAAAGTATTCCTACGTCTTTACAACATCTCACCTGGCAGTTTCTTGGCTTCAAACTCTCATCAAGGTACAAATGCCACATCTACACTTTTACTCAAGATGAATGTGTTATGTCAGTCCCTCATTCTTTGACAAGCTGCTAACAGCTCAAACTCAGTATATTCTTTTCATATCTCTTCTTTGTTCTATTTTTCATTGCTGTGGTAGTCTTTTTTATTTTAGAGAAAGAGAGAGAGGGTGTGAGCGGTGGCGGGGTGGGAGGAGAAGAGGGAGAGAGAAAATCTTAAGCAGGCTCCACGCCCAGTGTGGAGCCTAACACAGGGCTCGATCTCATGACCCCAAGATCATGACCTGAGCCAAAATCAAGAGTCCGATGCTTAACACTGAGCCACCCAGGCACTGCAGCTAGTAGTCATTTTTATGCCTTTTTAAAAAGCCTTTTAAGTTATAGTTCATCTTACTGCTACAAGAATAGTTTTCAGCAGAAGGTTGGGACTTCCTTAGTATGAAAGAGAAAATAAAAAATCAGAGAACGTAACTGAGATACAGGTAAAATGCTGTGGCATTTTATCCAAGTGATCAAGTAGTAGAAAATAGTTATGCAATAAGAAAAACAGCAGATATGGGACTTCCAGAATGGTAGAGCAAGGAGTTGCATACCTCAAAAGCAATAAAACACTGGCAAAAATTGTCAAAATGAAAATTTTCAGACCTTGAAATTAAACAAAAACTTAAAAGAATTTGAGGGGTATTTACTCAATAAAAAACTTGGGGGGCCAAAATCAAGAGTCAGACACTAACCGACAGAGCCACCAGGTACCCCCAAACATACAGAGTTTAAATAGATAGTTCCTGGGTGCCTGGGTGGCTCAGTTGGTTAAGCGTCTGCCTCCGGCTCAGGTCATGACCCCAGGATCCTGGGATAGAGTCCAGCATCAGGCTCCCTGCTCCACAGGAAGTCTGCTTCTCCCTCTGCCCCTCCTCCCACTCGTTCTCTCAATCTCTCTCTCTCAAATAAATAAAATCTTTAAAAATAAATAAATAAACAGTTCCCCAGGGAGGGTATGCACATGAGCAATAAGCACATGAAAAGATACTCAACATATCAGCCATTAGAGAAATGCAAATCAAAATCACAATGAGATACCACTTCACACTTACTAGGATGGCTATAATCAAAATGACAGACAGTAAAAACTTTGAGAGATGTAGAGAAATAGGAGCTGTTATGCCTTGTTGGTAGAAAAGAAAATGGTGCAGTCACTTTGAAAAACAGTTTTGGAAAGCAGTAACTCTGAAGGTTAAACATTGAGTTATCATTTGCTTCAGCAGTTCTACCCCTAGATACATCTATGTCCATAAGAAATGAACATCTATGTCCACTTCAAAGCTCATAGATGTTTTCATAGCAGCATTGGTCATAATCGACAAAAGTGGAAACAACCCAATTTCCATCAGTTTATACATGGATACACAAAATGTGGCATATCATACAAGTTAGTATCATTTGTCAGTGAAAAGAAATGATATATTGATATATACCACAATACAGATGAACCTTGAAAACATTATTCTAAGTGAAAAGAGCTAGTCACAAATGACCACATGCTATATGATTGCTACAAATTGTTCCTGTAGATACCAAGTAGATCAGTGTTTGCATAGGCAGTGAGGGGTAGTGAGATGTAGCACTCAGTGATCTGAAAGTTGGATTTAACCAGAGTTATGGTCAAATGCTGCTTAAATATTCTTTATTTGCTGTATTAATATTGGCGTAGAATTCATTGAAATGGTTCATCCTTTGCACATCAAGTTGCATAAAGAAAATTATGCATGGCTTATAAAAGATATTCAAGTTGTCTAAGCATCAGTGATCTTGCTACAAGTAGCAACAGAAAATAAGCATTGTTCTTTTTGTAAGAATCATTTTCTTTGTTCTATTTTTTCAGAGGTTTCTCCTCAGATTTTTTTTTACTGTATTTGGTGTTTTTCTGCTTTGCTTTTCATTTAAAGGTGAACAGTTTTAATGGAAATATTTAAGTTTTCAGTTTTTTCTGTGCTTTAGCTTGTTACCCGAATTTCATGTAAATATTGACATTATGTAATTCTTTGAAATCTCTTTTCTAGGTAACTTCAGATCTTCCAATAGTGTGGGGAAACCCATACATCACCATAGACCCTGACAATGCAGTTCCATATATCCTACATGTGTCCCCTTGGAAACGTGGTGTATTCAAAGGTAACAAAACTATTAGTAAAATATTATTAACCACCACACTAGAACAGATACATGATGAGAAGAAATAAGAAGTATAGTTTACATTTCCCCTTTCTAATAAATGACCGAGAGGGAAGTTTAGTTTTCTACTTCAGTCAGAGCTTTGGGACATACATTTTATGTCTTGTGCTATACTCTCTTGGCCATTTGTTTGAATGTATGTGTTGGACAAATTTCTAGAAGTATAAATATTTAGTTAAGGGTATTTACATTTAAAATTGTGATTGATACTTTCAAATACTTATACCAATTTATGAGCCAGGCAGCATCTTATGAGAATGTTTGTTTATGGGAATAGGTGTTATAAAAACAAGCGTATGCACTGAATTAACACATGAAAAAATAGGTTAAAGTCTTTGGTGTGTGAAGTTTCTTCCCTTTGTCTCTAATAAAGCGTTCATTTGTACAAATTGCCCTGAGGGTTCCTGAACAGAATTGCTTGCATGGGAACAGTGCTGAGGGGTATTCCTTATAAACTTTTGAAGGGAGGGTGCTTAAGAAGGTAGAAGAGTCATAGGGAAGATCTAAGGAACTGTGATTCATCAAAGGAATAAGTTGTCCTCTTTGGGAGAGAATTAAAGCCCCACAGTGGTTGGATCCTGCTGAGGAAATCATCATAATGTAGGTAAATGGATATAATTTAGAAGTGTAGTAAGTATACACCTAGTAGCAATCTTGTGCTCCCTAGGAGAACTAGTGTCTCAACCCTGTTTGCCTCAACAAAAATGTTTTAGGAAAGGGTCTATCCTTAGCATAGAAGGGTCTATACCTAGCATGCCAATGCTATTAATAAGCAGAAGGGAAACTTCAGAATGGCAAACAGAGTGATCCATTCAATACCACTGGAACAGAATGTGCTGTAAAGCAAGAGCCAACTTGCCCACCCACATTGTCTGGTTCTAGTGGCCTTGACCTCACAAATCACCAGTCTTAGTTATTAGCATCTTCCAAAGTCTTCCCACCACTTTTCAGACATTTGGCTTTGCAAAGCCAATTAATAATTCTCCATGTGACGGGTAGATTTTGAGGTATAGTGAACCTATTCCTAGTATTTCAATAAATTAGCATATTTTGTCCTTTTTTTATGTAATTCAGAAGATTTGAATTGATTTTAAGAAATCTAAAGTTCACTTCTCATTTTAATAATCAAATGACAGTGGATTTCCTTTAGTTTCAGAATGTTAACTAGTCTTTTGTAAAGGGCAGTGAATCATTCAGATTTGCCATTATTTTTGATAAACATATTACATCTCAGTTTCCTGTTCTACAAAAGGGAGAGGGTTCTGCTATGTATGAGAAAGAACATATGAGGAACCTCAAACTGCACAACATTGTTGTATTAGAAATGTGTATGACTCCCTTAAACAAACAAAACCCCTTGTCTATGAATCAGACTCTTAAAGTTATGGAAATGGAGCTAAGAATAATTAAGTACTAATATTTAATATGTCTTTCCTTTGTATAGTCATTTTTTTGTTAGTTTGGCAGCCTTTCGGAGACCATAAAATTTCAGTACATATTTTCACTGAACAGATATGGATTCACTTAAAATGCTGGTTTGAAGGACTTTAGAAGGAATTTGGGGAAGTTAAAGGCGACTCCGGGTACATCATTAATTGGGGATGAATTAGTAAATGTTGCTGGCTACACAAGAGGTTTTGCAGGCTTCATAATTTTGAAAAATATTTGCAAGACACTATCATGATTGCTCTTTCCAGGGCAGTAGTCCCTTAGAGGTGAATTAATGTTGATATGATTTGGAGAAGGTGAGCCTGTAAAGAAAGCTAAGTACATTTTTATTGATATTATTGTTAGAAAACTTACACAACACTTGAAACAGTGTAAATGTAATTGCCTTCTGAACAGCTGTTAATCTAATGTGATTAAAAAAACAGACTATAACATTTTCATATGTACATGAGAATATTCCTATTTGTGCTGGTTAAAGAAGTGTATCCGTGTACATGTATGTATCAGTGGTCTTTTTAAAAAACTTTGTGCTTCTTTTCAGTTCTGTTCTTAATTATATAACAGTTATTTACAAAAGGCCTATAACTTGGGAAGCCTTAATAACTCGAGTTGTTGTGAACAAAGCTGATGTCCAACCAATTATGCCCTATTTCTTAAAATATTGTAACAGATGCTTTTCCTTATATGTTGGTAAATACTCAGTTGTTTGAGCTCCACTGTAGTAAAACCCTTAACCACTATAGCAGGCCCCCCAGGACTTCCCAACAAGCCAGCAGCAACTAAAGGGTTAAAACATGACTCATCTGGGTGCCCCAGGACTTTCATCCGGTGTCCTTTCTCATTGGCCAGATTAGACTATAGGTTTGTTAATTATTTCGAATATTAGCCATGGATATAAAGACGGGTATCATGGCTCCTGACTACTAGGAATTCATATATGGTGGTGAACATATATATCCATAAATCATCTCAGTGAAAGGTACACTCTGATATACCAAAATTTAAACATGGCACTGGGGAGCAGGAAATATTAACAAATATTAACCCTAACACTGGGGGTATGAGAGGTCTTTTTTACTTCTTATTGCAGCGGGAGCCACTGAGGCTTCCCAAGTTATAGGCCTTTTGTAAATAACTATTATATAATTAAGAACAGAACTGAAAAGAAGCACAAAGTTTTTTTAAAAGACCACTGATACATACATGCACAAGCCAGCAGCAACTAAAGGGGATTTATTAGCCAATATGGTGGGGAGGGCATTACAGCAGAGGAAACAACCATACTGAAGATACTTCATGTCAGTAATGAGTAGAGGAGTGTGTCTGCAGTGTGTTTGTGGTAGGAAATGCAGGCTGACATAGAGTTAGAAATACAGGCCGACTTTGATGGGCAGAGTTTTGTTTTAATATTTTGTTTTACTTCCTACTATCTTCTTTTTTTAAACATATACTGTATTATTTGTTTCAGAGGTACAGATCTGTGATTCAACAGTCTCACACAATTCACAGCACTCACCATAGCACATAACCCTCCCCAGTGTCTATCACCCAGCCGCCCCATCCCTCCCACCCCACCCCCCACTCCAGCAACCCTCAGTTTGTTTCCTGCAATTAAGAATTGCCACTGAGGGGCGCCTGGGTGGCTCAGTTGGTTAAGCGACTGCCTTCGGCTCAGGTCATGATCCTGGAGTCTCTGGATCGAGTCCCGCATCGGGCTCCCTGCTCGGCAGGGAGTCTGCTTCTCCCTCTCCCACTCCCCGTTTGTGTTCCCTCTCTCGCTGTGTCTTTCTCTGTCAAATAAATAAATAAAATCTTTAAAAAAATAAAAAGAAATTAAAAAAAAAGAATTGCCACTGAGGATTTCTAAGGAGCGTGAGTCAACAGAGTTTTAGAAAGAAAAATCTAGAGGTAAAATATAAAACAGATAGGAGGGGCAAGAGAGGGCAGTAAGATCTGAAAGATCCTTTAGGAGCCTTTAGTAATATTCAAGTTGATCAGTTCTCAGTATTTGTGTTTCTTCTCTTAAAAGAAGACCCTGAGAAAAGAGTTTAATTGCAAGTGGTTTAGATGAGAGTTGATCACAGGAAGCACTCTGAGAGAATGGGAAGGTAAGATGCTAAAGGGAGAAAGTCATTGAAAAGTAAGCTAAAGATCAGACTACTCCTGAGACCTGGGGAAGCTCACTGGGAACCTTCAGAGAGAATTGTCATGCCAAAGGGCAAGCAAATTGTGGTAATCACTCACTAACTCCAATCCATCATTGGCTAACGTTTGCTCTTAGGGCAGATTCCCATGGCAATGAAACAATCCCTACTGGAAAAGTCATAGGAAATGAATGCTGTATATGGAAACTGTCTGCAGAGGGGATTTTTATGGGATCCTGAGAGCATATACCACAGTGGGTATCATGTCATACGGATTGGTAGGTAGAAATTTTGAAAAATGGATGGATTTGGAATTTTTGCAGCAGCCTGCAGTGAGCCACAATCATGTTTCAAGTATGTGATATGGAGACTTGAATTTGAATGCCTCTCTGGCCATGGAACAAATAGTGAAAATTGACCATTTTAAATGAAAGTTAAGGGTAGGGGCACCTGGGTGCCTCAGGCAGCTGAGGGTCCAACTCTTGATTTCGGCTCAGATCATGATCTCAGGGTCGTGAGATTGAGCCCCGTGTTGGGCTCTGTGCTCAGTGAGGATTCTGCTTGAGATTTTCTCTCTCCTCTCCCTCTGCTCTTCATGCCCCCCCCCCACTTGCTCTCTCTCTCTCTCTAATAAATCTTAAAAAAAAAAAAAAGTTATGGGCAGACCGAACTAGACAAGTGATAGTGGATTAAAGAACAGAAGAACAGTTTTTAAAGAAATAAAAATGGGAAATGATGCTCTAACAGCTTGGGTTTTCAGGGATTCAAATTCTGAGATGGGAGATTGGCAGGACATTTATTAGGAGATATACTATGATCAACATTTGTGAAAGGAAAGGTAAGAAGGTATATTGACCAGGTGGAGAAGGAAGTTGGGCTTCTAGACAGGTCCAGTGAAGGCTTTTAGTCAACTCACTGGGGCCTCTTAAGCTAGGATGGCCCTTTGGAATTGTCCCAAGTTAGGAGAAGGCGACTGGGTCTTTATGCTGCTATGTTGATCAGTCATTGAAAGTGGACTTGGATGAGGCAATTTTTTCAAGCCAAGGCAATGCCCAAAGAGGGCTGAACTAATTTTCATCTTCGAGTATCATTCCCTGTAGCTACAGAAATAATTCCTTCATTCCTGATAAGGAATGTGATTGATGCTGTATAGTGTCCACCACAGTTACATCTGATGAAAATCAGATATGGAGAGATAAGGGAGAAAGGAGAGTCAAATGTACTGATAGGAAGCAACACTAAGGAAGGGGATATAATTAACTGAGAGCTATGTCAACTGTACTTCCTTTACATTTTTTTTACTTAGCATAATACCCTCCAGTGTAAATGGTAGGTATTCATCCTTTC